GTGGGTGCAGTGCAAATCTTCCTCATATAAGAAGTCTGCAAGTACTTCTACATAATGTAATAGGGTAATGATTTTAAGAGTATTTTTTTGCCAAGATGTATGTCAGTCGGATTAGCACTTAAAACAGATTACACTGAAGTCTGAAGATCCCTTCCACAGCGGTTTCCTCTGGAAAAGGCAAATTTTACAGTAGAGAGTAGGTAAAGGTCTCCCCAGCCTTTCTCCTGCCTCTACTTTACTTCCCCCCCTCCCCCCAACCTCTATATCACTAAGCACAATGTTGGACAATAAACCTCTGGTTTGCATTTAGCAAATATTTTTAATGCCACTACAAATGAAGCCTTAGAGTGTTTGTTTGGATTTTTAGTAATGCTTTTATTACATGTAAATTTGATCTGATATTTTCATGGTTTACCAAAAAGATGATGTACATACAAACTCAAAAAGACATGTATGTTTTTTTCCTCAGAAGTCATTTAAAAACTACTGCAAAAGAAAAGTATTTTTGCTGCACTGAGCCTAAATAAATTATTTCCTGGAGATTAAAAAGTCTGGAAGACATTGTTGGCAGTATCATGCAGCTTACAGATAGTTTCACCAAACTACTAGAAGAGCACAAATCTCTATAGCCTTTTGGATTCAAGACACAACCTGGAAAAGTAAAATTCAAATCCTGAAAGGAATATGCACCTGTCAAATGAAGTCAAGCATTCCACATCAGATATAATAATATCTACCAGTCTAGGATCCACATAGACTGCAGTTGATGATTTGCAGTTTTCTTTACTGAGCCCTAAATGTCTAGATTAATTCAAGAACCCCTGTGCAAATCACTGTATCAGGAAACTAAAGTCATGCAAACAGGACAATTCACTAACATTGTCAAATGGACCAATGCAGATAGCTACTTCTGGCTGCTCATCTTTTCTGTGGGTCCTAAAAACTTCTATCACAAAAGGTTTCAATTTTTAATCAAGCATCAAGTTATTTTCAAGAAAAGAAAACAGCTTATGACTGATCACATGCACAGCCTGGAACACTGATGAAAAAAAGCAACAAAAACTCTTTACTTGTTTCAAAATCTAAGAGCTTCCTAAAAACACTTCACACTTGCTTTTAAGATGAAGCTACCACAGAAGTAATGAGTGTGGCTTATTTCCATATTGAGAAAATACTTCGCAACAGAACGCAACTGCATGCAATTTACATAAAGAATGAACTTGAGATACACATGCAAAAAATGGTTATAAACTTGAAGCACAAAGAGCTTTAAGCTTCTTGAACTAGACAATATCAGGACAACCTACTGAATTCTTTATGGTTAAAAAGATTTAAATAGAATTTCAGAAACAGTGCACATACGGTCAACATACAACTTGCTTTCATCATCCCCCGCCTCCATATTTTAAAGTGTTAATGTTAAAAATTAAGCGCCTTCAGGAAAGTCTTAAAATCTGTTACGGGCTTATTTCCTTTGCACACAGATCTTCATATGACAGCCCAGCGTGTGGGCTGAGAAACTATGTATGAACATTATGATTCTTTTCAAACGCAGCTGCTGGTAAAACTATTATACTTGCATAATCAATAATGAGCAAAACATCATGTAATTTCAGTTGCTTAACAACAAAAGTTTAAGGCCATCCTTATAAGATCTGAAGTCCTAGAAGTTCTAACAAAGTATCTACTATTTCTCCAATTTTACACTTCTGCTCCTTCAATGCTTCTTTTTGCCCAAACCCAATTCTAAAAAAAAAAAAAACAAACATTTTTTCTTCTGCCTTTATTGGAGGCAGAATAAACCCAAAAGTTAATTTGAAGGCAACAGGGAGAACTACTGGGATGCAATACAAACTTTTTTTTTCAAAAAAAGCAGAACACAGCTGTTGAACATTAACAAACCCATGAGAAGATGTCAAGATCATAAATCCAGCTGGTGAGGAATTGCTCATAGAAAAGGGCAAAAAAATGCAATATTGTATCAGTAAGAATGCCTTATCTTAGACATTTTGAAGGAGAGCTAGTACAATTCATCCTAAAGCACTCCACAGAGTAAGACACAATTTTATAGCCAGTGCCAGATCTTCACAGCAAAGCTAGAATTGACAGTATTAATTTATTCACACAACTTTTAGGTAACTATTTATCTCTTAATTCAAATCTGTAATTTAACAATTAAAATTATTCGAATGGCTGCAAAAGCACCTTAACATCCAATTTCAAAAATCCTTAACCGTTTGTTTCTCTTAAGCAGTGTGCTTATTTCAGAACAAAACCACTTCTCACTGTTCAAATCCCGAAGTTCTCCAGCGAGCCTTTTCAAACTTTCCACATTTTGATGAGGGCCATATAGTTCAGCTAGGCAGATTAAGAAAAAGACTCGACTGGATAAACATAGCACGCTTTTTTCGTCCCATGAGGGTGAACCAGCAGAGCCCACTGTGCACAGAGCTGGATACGCGTTCTCCATCCTCAAAGGGTTTCAATACCCAACAGGAAAAGCCCTACAAAGCCTGCTCAGGCCTCACAGCTGATCCTGCCCCGAGGAAGAGACGTCCCTGAAGTACCTTTCCAGTTGAATAATTTTGTTATCTTTCAGGTAGATAACAACAAACTCCAGCTGAACTTCCGAACAATCACAGGAACTTGTCTTTCTCCCTACACACCCTCCTCCAGGAAATCCTTTCCCGCCAGGCACTAGGGTCTCTCAGGAGAGCCTGGCAGTTGCTTGTTCTACTTCCAGCACAAAGACAACTTTGCAAACAGCACTCGCTGTCCTTGTATCTATAATATGTAAACCAACATTCACGTGCATTACTATGAAGAGGTTTCTTACTTTCTTTGAAAAAAAAAGTGTTTACAGAAACATTCTCCCCTTACAAAAATTAACTGCCAGATTTTTTTTACACAACCACCTGCACTACAGTCCACTATGTCAACTCTTACGTTTTCAAGAAAATAAAGAACCGAACTAAAAACATCAGTAAAACATTTTGGGAAACATGCTTTCATGTATGAATCATTCAGTCCTTGAAGTTCATGTCAAATTATAAAGCACATTCCCTTTCCACATTTATCTTCACCGTTATTTTCTTAGTTTCCCCTCAAAATTCAATGATTTCAAATGCAAACTTTTCCTGGTATACTTCACCACATCACTATTTAATCATTTTAGCTTATTCTAGCACAAATATTATGCTACCAATTATCCCACTACGTTATGGATGCTCTTTTCTCCACAGATATTACCCAGGTAGCTCTCCATGCACACTGCACGTTTATCTCTTTCTAGTGCCTTTTGCCTTTAATTTT